TGCCCTTGCTGGAGACTGCAGATATGGTCTTCACAGAGGTATGAATAACACTCCTGCCCGTGCTAGGGAGTGTGGTCAAAATAATAAAATAACAGCTAAACCTAAGACACCTGCCCTTGCTAGAGAGTGTCACTTGACTTCAAGTAACAAACTAAACCCTGGAGGGTACACATATATCAGATCACATTGTTAGGCTGAGAAACTGTTAATGCGTATGTACTTATGGAAGGCATTCGATTTCCAGCGGCCAAGTAGCCTAATTTGAGCATCAGTATATCGTAAAGCTGCTGCATGGGAAGCAGCTCCGATCCGAAAGCTATGCCCTTTATAGAAGGCAGGGTCTAGACCGCATTCCTTGATAGCAGATGAAAGAAAACGTGAAAACGCATTTCTAGGGACAGGTTCACCAGTGTAAAGCCTAAAAAGGGGACCCCCAGCATAGTTACCTTGCTCAAGGTATTCTAGAAGGCATGAAACTGGACAGACCCCATTGGACTGTCTATGCACAACGACAGAGAAAGTTCGCTCCTGATAATGATGTTTGTAATCCCCAAAGGTAATTCTGATTGCCTTAACATAAAAGAAATTATCTCGAAGCTTTGTTACTTGGTGGAATTGTAAGGGGGCATTAGAAGACTGTTTCCCACTAACAGTCATCTCACCAACCCTCAAAAAGGCAAAAAATGCAATAGCACACATTGCCCGAAAAAGGTATGCTTCATAACGTGAAAGCGTGGTTCTGAAGGCGGAAGACATGACACGCTCCAGAATAGGTAACGTGATAGGGAGTCTGCTATCGAGCCGGAAACCTTTCTTGTTGTACCCTTTAAGCATCTGTAAAATAAAGAAGACCTTTGTCGGGTCTTCAGCCCCTGCAAGCTTATGCGAATAACCTATAGCCGACACATAAGTATTGACAGTAGAAAAGGCATAATGTTTATCATATAAATATGCACTGAATAGAGCTAAAACAGAGGGTGAAACAGGGAAAGAAGAAGAGGTATTGGGGAAAATGGAGCCGTGAAACTGGTAAAATAGCGACCACGCCCTTTTGTACGTGAGCAGCGAAGAGGGCTGTAGACTGGATTGAAGCAGATCTCCGATTATACCTGCTAGCTTTGAGGCTGGAGATGAAGGGAAATTGCAGTCGGCTGTAGATCCATCTGTGCTGGAGCAAGCTTCCT